TTTACAAAATCTAGTTCAGAACAGTTGACTGAAGTAAGTGGCTACATTTACAGTAGTGAGTCTAGTCTGATACTTTTGATGGGTAGTATATAAATACATATGTTCTCTGTTTGGAAGCTGTTTGCCTCGAAGTTCAATTATCGATTTCAGGCAAGTCGTAAGGGATAATAAGTCTTTTATTGCATAATAGGAAGCTAAAGTGAGTGCATATACACCAATATTTATAATATAGGCCAAAATATTGTGGAAAATGTGTCACAATGTGCCTTTAAAGACTATTCCACATGCTTGGTAAGCTGTTCACTAATTTGATTCGCCGTGCAGCTGATGCATGTATATGCAGATCGCCCAAAACAACTTGCTTTAAATGTAAGGATCTGGTTTGATTTATTATTTCAAGAGATATCATTTGGGAGCAGAGCATTTAAAACTAAAGGGCAGATAACTACAGGTGATTAAAGGGCAGATAATTACAGGTGCCTTGTCACATGTTTCGAAGGTCTCGTGGCGACATGCATGGTCGTCAGGCAAGTTCGTATTCACGAGAGCGCATTTAAAACGGTAAGAAAACATCATGTATTGATATGTTGCAATAATTTGGTAATTATATAAGTTATTGTAAGTAAATAATTGAAAACTAGGCAGTCCGTAATACGTTACGTTATGACTAAGTTATGTACTGTTGTAAACATTTGACATTACTGCTGCATGTGAATCTAAGTTAGTTTTGTTTATTGTTACAGCAATCACATCTCACGTCAACTCAATAAAACCAATCTTCTAAGAATAAAGATATGACGTCACTCTCTCATAATCATCGTTCGTTCGTTCGTTCGTTCGTTAGTTATAATATAAAACCCGTTAAGTTTGTCCTGAAACTGACATAAAAGTGCTTTTGTGATGTTCAACACACCTGCCCAACGCTTCCTGTATGACATTATTCCACACCACGTGTCACAACCTCTTTCGTAAACAATACCGCTTATCCCATGGGTTAAAGGTTCACAAGACAGAAGGATGTAGCAAGGCCGTGAGCCCATTAGCCGTGATAAGCAAGATATTATTAACAGAAAATGTCCCCCAAGGCTTATGAAGGTACCTCCCATGGTGATATGGGGCTAATTACCTAGCTCGCGGGCAGCACGAGCTGCTCGTGCTACACCTACACGTGCCGCACGCGCTGTGTAAATATTCCTGTGGTGGAATGTTGACGAGCGGGCATTGGAAGTTGAACGATAACAATATTCATCATGGCTGTCCTACATGGTCTCATTGGGAACATCTGTGTTGTCATTTGTGGAAACCCTTCTCGGACATGTAAATGGAAAATCACACTGATAGACAATTATGGGATTTTAACCGTACAGAATGCGATTCCACCTTGTTTGCAAAGGTCGCTGTTCTTTGTCCGACCGACGGGTCAAATAGAACGATGCGATAAATGTACCAGATCAATGGGTAGGTAAACAGATTAGAACAAATCAAGAGTTATGGAGTCATTTGCCGGTGCCTTCAGCACAATGCTGTTTCTGGGTGATGGATCAGACCACTCGCAACAGAGCGCCGGGGATGGTGTTGTTGAGCGAGGCGAAGGTTGTACATCATTTCTCTTGATAAGCACTGTTCAAAGGAAGCTTGGCAAACACGTCGGGCAATCTCCTGATGTGACTCCTTTGTGTTTTTCTCAACACAGGAGTAATCACTCTTAGTAAAACTTGTTTGGTATTTGACCAGACAGAAAAGGCGATTATGTGGAGGTCACTTAGTGAGTGAGCGAGTTTGGTTTTACGCCGCTTTTAGCAATATTCCAACAATTTTATTAACATGGGGAAAACTCACGAAGTTTTAATGGTTATATCCCAGTTGTCAGACACCCGATTGTCAGATACCTCATTTGTCAGACACCCCATTTGTCAGACACCCCATTTGATGACTAGTCCATTATCGTAATGGGTAACACACTTCGCTTTTGTGTTAAGCCAATCACATAATTTTGTGTATTGGCAATTTAATAAACTATTGGACTGTCTGACAACACAACTGGTGTGGGTGTGGGTGTGGGTGTGGGGGTGGGGGAAGGGGTGTTGTCAACGTTTTAATATATTTATGACAGCATATGTCATTGAAATATACAGACTAACTGACCACGTTCCACAATCTTCGATCTGCCAAGGGTCACATTGGTAACGAACATCCGAGGCCAGTATCTTGTCTTGTCGGCAGATAAAGTTAAACTGATCAAATTCACTATGAACTTCACCCACCAACACCAGGGGGCGTTGGGGTAGCCTAGTGGTTAAAGCGTTGGCTCGTCACGCCGAAGACCCGGGTTCGATTCCCCACATGGGTGCAATGTGTGAAGCCTATTTCTGGTGTCCCCACCGTGATATTGCTGGGATATTGCTACAAGCGGCGTAAACGATACTGACACACACCCATCAACACCGCTGTCTTTAATACGTATTTCAAAATTATCATATAATCCCGTCAAGTTAGAGTAACTTAAAAAGTACAAAAAAAACCCCCAAAAACAAACAAAAACCCCAAAAAACTTAAGTTCTCAGTATGCACCGTATCGTCAGTCGAGTTACGCAAAGATTAAGCAACTGAAGTTCACGACAACAACTTTATCGTCAGTAAATGCGTGTATCTATGATAGCTGGATTAGGTATAAAATAGGGACGACACAGTCACAAATCAGTCAGTGGCTGTGTAATAAATTGTTCGTTTATTCACTCAGGTTGTGAATACTATGTTGTTTTGGACTGTTATAGAATGCAGATCGTATGAACGCCCACTGGGGTGAGGTGTAGAGTATTGAACAATTGCATTACGTTGTATACTTTTGAGGGCGGTGGGGTAGCCTAGTGGTTAAAGCGTTGGCTCGTCACGCCGAAGACCCGGGTTCGAATCCCCACATGGGTACAATGTGTGAAGCCCATTTCTGGTGTCCCCCGCCGTGATGTTGCTGGAATATTGCTAAAGCGGCGTAAAACTAAATTCAGTCAGTCAGTCAGTATACTTTTGAATGTGTATCGTAATTATTGCAGTATGCGTAACGAATCTACATGTGACGTTTATGTTCTTTGACAAATGTTTGTATTGTCAACATGCTCTAATAATTGATTGTAAACCATTCTGTTATTCCCTGATTATGTAAAAAATCGTTCAGTGGCTGAGTGTAATAAACTGTTCGTTTATTTACTCAGGTGTGGTATTGTGTGGTTTGGTATCGTCAACCTCTCGCCAAGCGAGCTGACACTCGCGTTTTAATAATATCACGGCGGGGAGGACACCAGAAATGGGTTTCACACATTGTACCCATGTGGGAAGTGGAACCTGGGTCTTCGACGTGACGGTCGAACGCTTTGACCACTAGGCTACCCCCCGCCCCTCTATATCTAATGATCTCGAGCATAATTTGATGCACTTTACTCTGAAGGCCCAACGGACGGGAATATTTCTAAGATCGAACGCCACCTTGTTATATACTTACTCGTTTCCTAAAGAGGTCATTAAGGTCGTTGAGTCCTGATTGACTTGAGGTGAATGTTGCTTTATGCCAGTTGGTCTGTTTACTGGTACATCATGATGGGGTACAGGTGATGGAGTAGTTATGGTTAACACGTGGTTGAAAGGATGAGCAAGGCCCCATGCATTTGTGGGTTAAAGTAATCAGCTTCACCACGCATTCTGATCTCTAAACTTGACGGGGCGGTGGGGTAGTCTAGTGGTTAAAGCCTTGGCTCGTCACGCCGAAGACCCGGGTTCGAATCCCCACATTGGTACAATGAGTGAATCCCATTTCTGGTGTCCCCCGCCGTGATATTGCTGGAATATTGCTAAAAGCGGCGTAAAACCAATCTCAGTCAGTCTAAACTTGACTGTTTAGTCAGGCATGTGGATTTTTGACTTTCAGGAACATCCTGGGACAGAGACTGAGACTGGAGACTGAGGTTGGGACTGGCACTGAAGGCCGAAAACTGGGATCGAGGCTTGATGAGAAACAGACTGAGAATGGAAACACAAATTGAGACAGGGATTTGGCATTTGCTCTTGGACTGAGGTTGGGACTGAGACTTGAGAATAGACTGGAGACTGGGGTTGGCTCTTGCACTTAGACTGAGGTTTGGGATTGGGAGTGGGGACTGGGATTGAGATCAGACTTGGACTGAGACAACTGGAATCGACACTGACACCAAAATGACACTTGGTTGTGGATTCATGAGACTTAAAACGACCACTTCGACTTAAGTGTGTATGTTTCTAAAACTATTTGAAGCTGCATCGTGAATCGGGAGGCATAAGCGTTGTTCCCCGTGTAATGGGCAAGCAGATACAACCCACATACTGGCTAAGCCCATATAGTTCACAAACTTACTAGTCAAATAGATATAGTTCACATACTTCCTGGGCAAGCAGATATATATAGTTCACAAACTTACTCTGTAAACCGATATAGTTCACAAACTTCCTGGCAAACAGATATATATATAGTTCACAAACTTACTCTGTAAACCGATATAGTTCACATACTTACTGGGCTAGCAGCTATATATAGGTCTCATACTTACTGGGCAATCAGCTATACATAGGTCTCATACTTACTGGGCAATCAGCTATACATAGATCTCATACTTACTGGGCAAGCAGCTATACATAGATCTCATACTTACTGGGCAAGCAGCTATATATAGGTCTCATACTTACTGGGCGATCAGCTATACATAGGTCTCATACTTACTGGGCAAGCAGCTATATATAGGTCTCATACTTACTGGGCAAGCAGCTATATATAGGTCTCATACTTACTGGTATACTCATACTTACTGGGCAAGCAGCTATATATAGGTCTCATACTTACTGGGCAAGCAGCTATACATAGGTCTCATACTTACTGGGCAAGCAGCTATATATAGGTCTCATACTTACTGGGCAAGCAGCTATACATAGGTCTCATACTTACTGGGCAAGCAGCTATACATAGGTCTCATACTTACTGGGCAAGCAGATATAATCCACATGCACGTTTCTCTTTGACTTGTCTTGGTGGTTGCAATATTTTGGCATCATCATCTTCAACCCAGAAGCTGCGCATGCGTCCTGACTTTCACAGAGAGTATACAATGACACGTAGGTCGGCCAGGAGCACGGTGACACGCCGTTCAGACAGCGTGCTCCCACTATGTGTATCACTCCGCCATTGTGACACTGTAGTCCCTTGTTGTCTGGGTGACAGATGTTGGATTTACATGGGTGACCGATCTTGGCTGAAATAAAATGAATGACGATGAAAAGCAGGCAAGCTATAAAGGATGATATAAATGATTGATTGCGTATCTATGTATCAGTACTTATATGTGTGGAAGTTCCAGAGTGATATAGGTCAAAGACGTTGGCTGTTTATCGAATAGCGCTGATTAATCAGGGCTTATCTGAGTCCATCGAATTCTGTCACAGCTATTACGGCATCTTGAATGGACTTGGGACACCAGGCCTACGCATTGACGTTTGCATTGCCTGTCAATTTTGCGATTACGACGTCGAATCTTAAGTCATATTCACGTATGTCGAGTGAGTGAGTGAGTGAGTGAGTGAGTGAGTGAGTGAGTGAGTGTGTGTAGTCCTAAGTTTGTGTCATGTGTAAGGGACACTACTCTTTACAACAAACTTGGCCACCAGGGCTCCTCCGTTGGAAACAGACCAAATTGGAGCTAATAGACCAAGAAACGTGATGAAGGCAAATCTGGTATTGATACTGAAGATCATACGTTTTCGTCACGCCCGAGGGATGAAATTATTTACAGCTTATTTCGTTGACTTACACAGCACGAACAAGCCATTATCCTGACGTTTGGAATAGCATTGATATGAATGGAAATGCACTCATTTCCAAATATTCCAATATCACTTGGTTTTATTCACATGTATGCCTAGTTTGAGTACAGACCTAGTTGCAAATGCCCAAATCATTTTCTATAGGTGATGTCACATATGGGCATAGAATCCAACAAGTATAAACATTCTCCAAAACTGGCGGCAGACACGGAAGTACACTATTTCATGCAGTGTTACACAACATCACCAAGCGTGTCACCAAAGGCAGGTCCGAGTCAATAGGGCCAATGTAGGACACAGCACTTCGCGAGACCTGACCTTGTTTAGTACTTCCGGTGACAAACAACGTTTCATACCTTTTCCAACGGTCTCATGGTTGTCAGTTGACAGCAAGGAACCGATAATCCTTGCAGAAATAACAAATGTCCGATCTAACCATCCCCAAATTGGTCAACTATTACGACTGTCAACAGCTGTGGCAGCCAAGCATGGTTTTACACTTGGTCCGGTCTAGTAAATCATATTTGGCGGTCGCGCAATTTGAAACCAGAACTGATTCTTGAATATACGCTTGTCACCGGAAATCTGGTACCGGAAGTAAGCTGGGCCCCGTCTCGCATATCGCAAGTTAGCGCGCGCAAAGGGAGCCGGGAACCAGCTTAGTACCCGAAGTAGTGCCTCGCTTGACTTGCAGGCCCCATAGTGAACAAGTTCGAATTGACAAAGATTCATCATGGAAATCTCGACTCGAACAGTGGATCCGTGCAAAGCTAAGAGAGGAATCAACTCTGCAAAGTGAATTGTGGTTTCTTTAGCGGCTTTGTTATAAAGAAAGACTGACTGGAAGATTAGCGACGGATCCCACACATTAAGGCCAACCGATATATCTTCGTTATACGCTCAACACTAGCGTTTTGTTTGATTGTCAGGAGGAAGAACTGTGTTTAATCAGTAATACAACGGATTTTTCCCATATGGCAAATTATGTTTGCGGCTCATGTGGGATTCCTTTTTCTTTTCGGGCCATACCACGTTGTACGTTTTTTGAACAACCTTGACTTGAGAAGACAAACTGTGTCTCCCTCAGGTCAGATTACGTTTCCTACTAAAACTATTCGTCAAGAAACGCTTGTGGTGATTTTCATCGCTAAAAGGATTTCCAAGACTGTATTCCAAAATGTGGTCTAGAATTGACGTGGTGTGATTAATCATTATATTTCTTTTGGGGGTCATAATGCAAACATAACAAACGGACATGGCATTCATTGGGTGAGTGAGTGAATTTAGTTTTACACCGCACTCAGCAATATTCCAGTTATGTGGCGGCGGTCTGGAAATATTCGAGTCTGGACCAAGTGTCAACCAAGTCAACGGGCCTGACCACCAGATCCCGTTTGTCGCCTCTTGCGACAGACATGGGTCACTGGAGATCAATTCTGACCCGGATCTTGATGGAATTGAGACCAACGATTGTTCATATATTCTACAGGTACCTGTGCACCATATGGCATCTCTATTGACGCTATATATCCCAAAGTCTAAATCGTGCAAATCATATGCACCAGTAGACATAAATTATGCACAATGTATACGGTCTTCGTTTTTCCTATCAAGCACTGATGACCAGCGAAGATTGGGTGGTCAGACTTACTGACTTGGTTGACACATGTCATCGAATCCCGAGCTGATCGATGCTTATGATGTTGAAGAGTGGATTGTCTGGTCCAGACTCGACTATTTTCAGACCCCCGCCATATGCTGGAATATTGCTGAGTGCGGCGTTAAACAACAAACAAACACACAAGCATCAAGCATCGATAGGGATGTGAGAGGGGAATGTCAAATCTATTTGTAATGGAAACGGGCGCTCATATGTTCTGTCTAACACAAAAGTCAACATAAATAACAAAGAAATTTCGCACACACACGCACACACGCACACGCACGTACACACCATCACCATGAAAGATATTTTGTGGATTGACCCATAATGAAGAGCATTATTTCCTCACTCATTCACTCACTCACTCACTCACTCACTCACTCACTCACTCACTCACTCACTCACTCACTCACTCACTCACTCACTCACTCACTCACTCACTCACTCACTCACTCAGACTGGTTCACACAGCAAAACATTTCTCGTACTCAGCACAGTGCGGTGGGGTAGCCTTGTGGTTAAAGTATTCACTCGCCACGTCCAGCTCCCGGGTTCGATTCCCCATATTGGTACAATGTGTGAAGTCCATTTCTGGTGTCCCATGCCATGATATTTTGCTAAAAGTGGCGTAAAACTAAACCTAACCACTATCTCGTACTCAGCAGTCACACTACGTCTTTGATCCAGAACCCCCACGAGGACGAAGTAGCAATCCAAGTATCAAAGACACAACCAGTATCCTAAAGCACAATCACCAGCTTTGAAAGCTTTTATAGCGCTATGGTTTACAGCGAATGACCTTTACGACCTACAGCAACGTGTTCCGATTAGAGCCCCACAAGTTCCGTTTATTGTGAAAGCTTTATCCTCGGATGCGTGTTGCTGGAGACCCTCTGAATGCTATCAATTACAAAGGTTCAGGTGTTAAATCAAGCAGGAATGATCTTTCACTACTATATCGAGTTATATACTGAATATCGACTTCTGCAGCCGAGCGAGGATTAAAGGAGAGACTCAAATTAGCTACTGAATGGAAAATAACAAATATTTATTTCATGAATTTGAGAAGGCGCAGTCTACGCTTCGATCAGCAGCAGCTAGCATAGATGCGTACTTTACCACCAACAGCGTACTTACATGAGCAGTCTATCAACAGCTGACTTAGATGCGTACTTTGCCACCAACAGCGTATTTTAATGAGCAGACTATCATCAACAGCTGACTTAGATGCGTACTTTGTCACAAACAGCGTATCTTAATGAGCAGACTATCATCAACAGCTGACTTAGATGCGTACTTTGCCACAAAAAGAATATTTTAATGAGCAGTCTGTCATCAACAGCTAACTTAGATGCGTACTTTCTCACCAACAGCGTATTTTAATGAGCTGTCTATCATCAACAGCTATCTTAGATGCGTACTTTGCCACAAAAAGAGTATTTTAATGAGCAGTCTGTCATCAACAGCTGACTTAGATGCGTACTGTGCCACAAAAAGAGTATTTTAATGAGCAGTCTGTCATCAACAGCTAACTTAGATGCGTACTTTCTCACCAACAGCGTATTTTAATGAGCTGTCTATCATCAACAGCTATCTTAGATGCGTACTTTGCCACAAAAAGAGTATTTTAATGATCAGTCTGTCATCAACAGCTAACTTAGTTTAATGAGCTGTCTATCATCAACAGCTGACTTAGATGCGTACTTTGTCACAAACAGTGCATTTTAATGAGCAGACTATCATCAACAGCTGACTTAGATGCGTACTTTGCCACAAAAAGAATATTTTAATGAGCAGTCTGTCATCAACAGCTAACTTAGATGCGTACTTTCTCACCAACAGCGTATTTTAATGAGCTGTCTATCATCAACAGCTATCTTAGATGCGTACGTTGCCACAAAAAGAGTATTTTAATGAGCAGTCTGTCATCAACAGCTGACTTAGATGCGTACTGTGCCACAAAAAGAGTATTTTAATGAGTAGTCTGTCATCAACAGCTAACTTAGATGCGTACTTTCTCACCAACAGCGTATTTTAATGAGCTGTCTATCATCAACAGCTATCTTAGATGCGTACTTTGCCACAAAAAGAGTATTTTAATGATCAGTCTGTCATCAACAGCTAACTTAGATGCGAACTTTGCCACCAACAGTGTATTTTAATGAGCAGTCTATCATCAACAGCTGACGGATGCGTGCTTTGTATGGGAGTTATGTAACGGCAGGATAGCTTTGTGCATGTGGGCCCACACGGGAACGCGGAAGTGTGCCAGCTTGTTTACGCCACAAGTCAACAATATCCCAGCAATACGACGACGCCCTGCACATATTCGAGACTAGACCGACACCAGTCGACACGCAATCAACCAAGTCATCGCACCTGACAACCCGATCAATTCAGTAACCAGTAAGGTTGGAGTGAGTGAGTTTAATTTTACGCCGCGTGTAGCAATATTCCAGCTATATCACGGAGGGGGGACACTAGAAATGGTCTTCACACATTGTACCCATGTGGGGAATCGAACTCGAGACTTCGGCGTGAAGAGCGAACGCTTTAACCACTAGGCTACCCCACCTTCCCAGTAAGGTGGAAGACAAACATGCATTCTAACCCAATCCTTACGCAGTGAGTAAGACCGAAGCGCCATGTCTGCATTTCGCCGGACAATGGTTTGAGCAGTTACCATGAGGTCACCTGTGAAAGGAGGTTGGTTTTCTTGAAGGTCATGACCCTGTAACCAGCCGTTGTTTCCTTGAGATGAATTACGTG